AGTTGAGTTAAAAGAAAAAAAATAAAAGCTATTTTTTGGAATAGTTCGAAAAAAAATTAGACAAAATAATATTTTAAAGAGATGAATGGACTTGTTTTTTAAAAATAAAATTAAGGACAATTTTTAAAATAAAAACAATTCTATTTTATATTTAAATATTTTTAACACGCTTCAATAGCTAAAATAAATTTGTTTTTTATGAACCATTTTTTTTTCATTCGTGCTAACTGTCTCTGCATTCACAGCTAGCGCGAATTGGAGATGGAGAATACAAAAATACACCGTATTTGTATAATTTGCCGCGCATTCGCGCTAACTATGAATGAGGGGTAACTGGGAAAAGTGAAAGGGGGAATCTTTGTTAATCGTGTCTAAGGTGGATACAATGGAAAATAAAACTGCCTACACCAGAAAACTACAGCAATTTTTATTACTTTAGGAAGGGGAGGGAGGTGGGGGTATAGTCGATATTAAGTTAAAGTCATTATTGATTCTTTTTTTTGAAGTTTAAATGGTATCGCTTCTATATGATATATAGATCCATTACTTGAAGATTAGAAATTGCGGATATCCTATCGCCCTTCAAGTATTTATAATATGTATTAAATCTTAGTTTGAGAAGTGCTGGAGATTATTTGAGGTATCTCGCTTTAACATTAAACAATATTTTATTTTAATATAGGGATTTGAGTAAGTATATAAAATTTTTGTTTCTTCCAAGTTTTTTGATATCAGAACTATATCATCGGCATATGATTGTAATTTTATGTTCCAAGTGTAGGATATCATTGGATCCAATTTCCTATAAAAGTTTTATGTTTTAATATGGATTCGTTTTTTTAAAAAACTTTTTAAATGAAAAATAAAAATTTGAAAGAAAAAAAATATGCTAATTAAAAATGAAAAATTTTAAGCAAAATTTTTTAATTAGCAATAATAATAAGAAAATTATATAAAAGGGGGAATTTTTTTATATGTCGATCTCGATTGTTCACATTTTTTTCTCTAAAGTCCCATGACCAAGGTTGCCAGGTCTTCCACGTTGAGTAAAAACCTAGCTCATTTTTTTAAAAATGTCACATTAATCAAACTTTCAAAAAATTTACCGTAATTTTAATATTTCCACAAATCTATCTATAAAATGAATATGGTCCAGCCAGCGCAAGGAAATTGACGTTACGACAGCCGATTTACTTTAATATCTATTCGCCTATTTACAATCACATGCCCTGTCAGATTTGACAGGTTATAAAATAAACTGATAAAATTATTAATAAAAACCATTTTTAAATATATAGATCTTAAAAACTAAACCCATCTCTATCGCTCAATCCTACTCTGCTTGAGATACTTGCTTATATATTCAATCCCATTTAAAAAAATTTCTTCTTTCGAACATTCCTTGAGTTGAGCTATTTATCCCCTAAAATATACCACAAAATCTTCCATGTTTTTATTTTAAAAAGTGTAAATTATTTTTCATTTTTGGCTTACCAATAGAAATATGGGTAAGTAATGTTAAGGCCCAATTACGATTTTAGCCTAGATAATATTATGTAAGCCTGGAGATTTTGCTGATAGTTGACAGAAAGGTTTGGATGTATATTTGCCAATCTCGAGGCTTATATAATATTATTTTGGTTAAAATCGTAATCAGACCATTTAACAACACTAAGGGTAAGTTTTAGGATCAGTTGATTTCGGCATTTCCAGGTTTTAAAATTTTATAATGAATTAGTCGTCGTCAAATTCAAAAAAGAAACCAACAATTTATGTATTTTTTTTTTAAATATTCACTAGTTTTTTTATGAAATATTTTCTTTTTACATCAATATATTTTTCTAGATAAATACTTCATCTTCTATCAGCACCGATTCAGGCTAAAGTTATAGGTATTTCATGACAATTCTCAGCAGCAGAAATCACGGATGGAAATGTCCAAGACAAAAAGACTAGGGCAAAAACATCTCATATATCAGAAGAAAAAAATTAATAAGGGCAATTTTTAAAAAAAATTATCCTTTTTTAGGCATTTAAACAATAGTTAAAAATGTGGTATTTCTGTCCGGAGTACTTTTGTTCAGAACATTTCTATCCGTGACTCCACCAGTTGAATCCATGTTTTTTTTAAAAATATTCTTTATTTAGTTTAAAATATATTTTTATATAATTCTTGCATCAATAAACAAGCCAAAATTATGAGGTAATACTTTTTTAAAAAGAAATTAATAGTAAAAAACCAATCGTAAAAAGCGATCATATTATCCTTATAAATTGTTATAAAAATCTACTAATTAATATAAAACGTTGCAATATAGCTATGCTTATTTCCATAAATAAAAAAAATTTCTAACTAATTTATTCGAGAGGTAATTCAAAATATCTTGCGTCACACTCATAGCCCCTATTTAGTAGAAGACCTCGATCGAACCCAAAAGCAAGCATATATAGATATACTACTTACTTTTATCATCTTTCTAATTAATTACTTTATCTTTTTAAATAATCTTGTTTTATATAGAGTATCTTAATAACGATTAATTTAAAAACACATTAAAAATATTTTTACGGTTTTAATGAGAATTTTTTTTAAATTAAAAAAAAAATTCTCAAATTTCGAGTAATATTTCGTATTTTGAAGAATTTTATTTTTAAATAGGATCCTCTCTTCCACCTAAAGAAGATAATAGGTAAATTAGAGTTTTTCTAAATAGATGATTGGTCATTTTATAATAAAATTTGTAAGCCAAAATAAGATTTTACGAGATAGGATTATTCATCCTTTTGCATATTTTAATTTTATTATTTTGGCATATACGAATTACTAAATATATTATTTTATAAAATACCCCTTAAAGACAGAAAGCGTCATTAATTATATGATCTCATGATATAAAAACCAGGCGCAAAACCAAGCAGGGAGGAATCACTCCCAATGCTAATTTGCTTGTTCTCGTAAATATCCTTTTAAGCTAATAAAAAAAAATCCACTATACGCCCCATCCCCTCTCTCAATATATCACTATAAAAAAAAATTTGAAAGAAAAATTAGTAAAGTCAATAACTTTAAAAAAAATGACTATAATTCCAAAAAATTTAGTAAAGCATTTTTATAAGAAATAAACAAAAACCCAAAATTATTTTTATAAAAATATAGAATAGCCAAAGGCCGACAATAAGGGGACCTAAAGAGCTCTAATAAAATTTATGGCAGAAATCCCCCATAATAGTGCTTCCTATAGGAAACTCTTGGATATACCTATGTCAAAAAAAGAAACTTGCAGATTATTAAATTCTGAGCCAATAGTCAAACTTAAAAATTAAAATAAAGTTTACCAATCCATTAATTAGAAAATAATATAATATAGCACTTAATATTTATTTACTGCTCATAATTTCAATTTCCATTAAGCAATTTGCAAAATACAGCAAAAATCATTCAAGGAAATGATGATGAACAATAAAAATCTGAACATGGCCAAAAAATTAAAATTCTGAGATAGATCAAAACTGTAAATTTGGAAAAACTTTTCTATTTAAAGCAGTTTGTAAAATTAAAAATCAATCCTCCAAAAGTGGCCTTCCTAAGGTTTCACTTTATTGGTAAAAAAATAAATAAGAAATCTTTTTCTTTTATAAATAAAATTTCTCCAATTTTTTTCCTATTTATTTCTAATAATAATACTATAATGTTACTATAATAAATGGAAGGGAAAGATTTTAAAAAGATAATTGTGTAAAACAAAATTTATAAGAATCTTTTTTATTTTTTTTATTATATATTTTTGACACTAAAATATGCATTATATTATAAATGAGATGGGAATTAGATAAAAATCTATAAAAAATTTATAACTCTAAAAAAGAATTTAATGGTTTTTTAATATTATCTTTAAGATTTCATTTGATAAATTATTTTATTCTGTTTCTTTCTTTTCTAATCTTTCATTCATTCTTTGTTTCTAATATTTCTTTATTTCCATAGGTATTCATTTTTTTTATGCTATATATTGGTGTATTATTCAGACACAATCATATATTTTATTAAGATTTATGAAAAGATTATTTTTCAATTAGAGGTCAGCTTGAACTAGCTCAGCCTCAAACAATTAGTGTTGTTTAAAGGCTCATTGAGCTGATTTTTAAAAATGGCTAACTCAATATTTTATTAGGAAAAATTTTATGCAAGCCTTAAGATTTAGCTCATAGGTGGCACAAAGGTTTGATCATCTATTAACGAAATCTCAAGCTTATATAATATTTTTCTGGCTAAAATATTGAGTTAGCCATTTTTAAAAATTGGCTTAAATCGAGCCATTTAACAACACTACAAACAATCCATGGTAATTTTTAATCTTAGCCAGCCCATAAATATTTTTGCCCAGCCTAGATCATAAAATTATTTTATAGTTGTCCATGAAGTAAAAGGTATAAATTTATTTAAATTCTAAGCTTGAGAAAAATTTTTCAATTTTAGGCCCAGCCTGCAAAATTTGTACAAGTCTATATATAAATCTTATATTTTATAAATTCACCTTAATATTGTTCAATAAATGATATAAATAAGTTGTAAAATAACCATTAATTGATGTTAAATTGATTCAATATATCACTTTAAAGTGGAAAACACTAATTTAATCTTATATAGGGAATTATCTTTTAAAACCCATATTTATATATCATAATTTAAATAGATAATATGTGGTCTTTTTTAAATTATCAAGACTTAATAATTATCAGTAAACATATTTTAACCTGTTGTAATATTTTTATATGTGATGCAATTTTTTTTTATTGCTAGTCTAAGATACTGTATTCTATAAAAATAAGCAAGTATGCACAAATAGTTGATAACCAAATAAAATTAAATAATAAAACAAATCAATAGATATAATTATAGGGTAAATTATATAATAATTATGTAAAATCATCAATATTATACAACTTTTAGCATTTATAACTCACATTAAAAAAATATACAATGATAAAAGCATGTGTACTTATTGCATAAAGGATTAGGCAAGATCTTTAGAAATTTCACAATAGACACACCCGTAAATGAATGAATGGTATTAATGAAGAAAACATATGTTATCTAAATCAATTACGTGATGTAATGTAAATAGTATTTTCTAAAAATCTGATTTTAATATAATAATGCCTCAATAAAGTTGAAATTTTATATAAGCCTCAATACACATAATAATAATAATAGAAAATTATTAATATATTTTATATTAAACCAGTGTGTGTTATTAGAATATTATAAATTATGAGATTTCCTATTATAAATTTTGTATTTCGTTTTTATTTATTTTTATAAATTAGATATTATAGTCTTAGTGGCAATTGTTTACATTTTTATTATTATGATAATATATATTTCTATTTTTCCGTAATCTGGGCATAATTAAGGTGGCTTTCACTATTTACAAAATGTTTATTCCCTTATCTCAGCAAATTGTACCTTTTAGTGGCCTCACTAGGGGAAGGCGCGCAGGTGCTCAAGCTACCTAAAAAATTTGAATATCCCCCCGAAGCAAAAAACGATTTATTTTATAATTTTATTAAGTAATATATAGATTTAACTTTATTATTTAAGTATAACTTTCTAAAAAGTAAGTAGACATATAGTTTATAATCCTCTATTATATATAATTTGTCAATAATATATAAAATCTTAATTGTATTTATTATATCACTATGGTTCTCTTTTTATAGTTACAAAATGTTTCATTTCTAATATGGCATCCTTGCCGTGTAAATAACTTATGGCTTCAATATATTTGCATAATTTCTTCTAAAGAATTTAAGTGTTTTTGTTTTATCAATTTATATAACATAATAAATTCTGATATGAGTTAACATCGTGAGTGTCATGGCATAGGCGTAGTCAGGATTTTCATAAGAAGGGGGGGGGGTAAAAAATTGGGGGCTTCGCCCCCAGATTCCTTTTGGGCGGGCCTTCGGCCTGGTTACTTTAGTCTATATATAGTCATAAATATTTTTACAAATTTTAATATAAGCCTGGAACAAATATGAAATATATTTTTATTAGTTTATATAAAATAAAAATATAATAAATTACTTGTATTGTATATACCTTAATATAAAAGCATGGTAATAATTTATTCCAAACAATTTTAAGTAATTTATTTATAAAAAGTAAGTAGACATATAGTTGATTTTACTCTATTATATAGAGTTATAAAATACTAGGTAAAATTTTACTTTTTCAGACATATTTGACAGTTAGAGAATATATTACAGTTAATAATTTAACAAATTTTACTAATCAATGCTCTTGATATTAAATATGCAACAATTTGCATTCAATTATTTAACGCCATCTATTTATTTTAAGAAAAATGATATTTAAATTTAATTTTCATATTGTTCATCCCACAATGTCTTTAAAAGATATTTTTTGATGTCCTTATCAATATTTTACAGTTATCTGTAAAATAGATTATTCGCTATATAGGTAAAAATTACTTGATTGTCATTTGATAATTAGATTTACTGTAAATCTACGACATATAATATTCCACTGTTTGTATTGTGCTTTAATATTTTTTTAATTTATGATTTAATTTTATCAATAGTTTTAAAATTATATTTAACTTTTATTAAGATTAATAAATTAAAATTACTCACTTTATAAAAAATTATATTTGATATATTCTATTATTTATTAATTTTATGGATCTATTATTAAAAATTATAATATATTTCACTTCTGTCTTAAGACTTATCTTTGGCTTATATTCCATTTATTAAAAAACATTTTTGGTTCATTTTATATATTTATAAATTTATTTTCCCAAAAATCTATAAATTATGATGAATAGTTTTATAAAAAAATATCAACTTTTACATTCTTTCTTTTAAATTATTATTTAAGATATATGCATACATATTTAAGGGTCAGGGAGTGGGGGGAGGACTAAGGGAGATATTTTTTATTAGCTAAAAATGATATTTACAAAAAGTGATAAATTTCTGAAGGAGGGGGGGAATTTCCCCTTGCCCCCCCCCCTTGGCTACGCCTATGTATCATGGCTATGACTGCAAATTAACCAGCATCTATTATTTGTATGGCTATGTAATTTAAGATTATTACTACGGCTACATAGAGCATATGATTGCAGATTTTAGATAAGCAATAATAGTCAACTGCGTAGTCATTTTTATAGTTTAAAAAGAGATTATAATATATTTCCTGCTAAATAAATTAGAAACAATATAATTTCGATTTATATTAAATAAAGTTGAAATTTATATATATATATATAAATATATTAAATTATAATAATAATCTCGGTTTCCTTTGTATTATTCCGATTTACATTCTCCAATGTTTCCTGGACTTGCTTGATCACATTTCAAACCTTGTGTGCAATTTCCTTGTTGCCAGTTGGTTCCACAAGGATCGCCCAATTTCTAGTTTGACAAAAATATTTAAAAGACAAATAATGATATATATCGTTTTATAGCATGATTAAATTTAAAAGGCAATATTTTTATTATATTATTGCAAATAATTTTTTTTAATAATTGGTAACCTATTTAAAAAAAATACCTTTATTTGTGAAAATTTCAAAATATAGAAAATTTCCCTTTGAAAATTAAATATAAAATTGATTATCTCTCATAAAATTTGACAAATGAAACGGTATTTTAACACGCTACCTATCCCAACGACACTTAATCACTCAGGTATTTGGTACTTTACACTTAAACATGCAACACTTGATAATCCTAGATAAAAAAATTTAACTTTGGTATTTTTCAGTGGCATCGCTAGGAGGGGGAACCCAGGGGTTCGAGCCCCCTGAAAAATTTGAATAGCCCCCTGAAGCAACTTTTTTTTAAAAAAATTGCTCCTTAATATCCCCTTGAACTAAAAATAAATCTTTTTCAATTGCCCACTGAACGATTCCTTTTATAATTCTATTGAGTAATATATAGATTTAATTTTATTATTTAAAAATTAATAAAACTTTCTAATTTTTTATTAAATGAATACTATTTTAATTATTAGATTAGATTATACATATAAATTATATGTTCACTCTATCATCTTGCAATCATATTCTGTGTTAAAAATATATCAATATCACTCACTAAATATTAATTTAGCATTAACAGTTGAAGCTTAATTGACTTTTAAAATTATTATATAACCTTAATTAAATAAATATTAATTTAAAATTAACAAATTTAATATTGTAATTAGGAGTTCAAAATCAATAATCAACTATATTATTGATATTTAAATTTAATTACCACGCCTCTTCTTAAAATTATTTTCAACGTCTAAATCCAAATAAGTATAAAAGATTTATTTATAAAAAGTCAGTAAACATATAGTTTATAATCCTCTATTAGATATAATTGGTTATAATTAGATTAAATACCACTTTTAAAGACGTATTTGACAGTTATATAATATATTACAGTTAATATTTAATAAATTTTACTAATAAATGCTTTTGATAATAAATATAAGTAATACAGTGTTTTCAAGTATTTAACGCCATCTATTTATTTAGAAATATTTTTAAAAATTTAACATCTTATCATTTATTCTAGAATGGTTGTAATAAATTAGATAACTTTTCTTCTCTTTTTTACGTGTTTTTAGAAAAGCTATTTTTTTCTTATTTGAAAAACAGTTTCGAGTTAAATTTTTAATACTACTATATTTTTGATATTATTACAAACTACTACTATTTTAAGATATAATATACGAAGTTTAGGTGGTGCGACAATAATATATAAAATCTTTATTAATTTCTTTTATCATATCATATCACTCTGGATCTTATTTTATAGTTACAAAATGTTTCATTTCTAATATGACATCCCTGCCTTGTAAATAACATAAGGCTTCAATACATTTGCATAATGTCTTCTTAAGATCTTTAGTGTTTTTGTTTTATCAATTTATCTAGCATAATAAATTCTGATATAAGTTAATATATTGAGTGTCATAGCTATGACTTCAAATTAACCAGCATCTATTATTTGCGTGGCTATGTAATTTAAGATTATTATTATAGCTGCTGAGAGCATATGATTGCATATTTTATAAGCAATAATGGTCAACTGTGTAGTTGTTTATTATATCATTAAAAATAGAAGATAATCTTTTAGAAATTTAATATCTCACAATTTTTTTCTTAATTACTTATCTAACTTCCATCATGTCATTTAAGAGGAAGCTCTAACCACCATATAGTTTTATGATTTGGATTATCGTTTATATTCTCTTCTACAAGAATTGTTGATTTGATTAGGCCTATAAATTTTTCCTTTCCATTCTATAAAACATTGTCTAAAATGGTAACAGAAGTTTTATTTTCATGACCTTTTGTCAATGTAACTTGCTAGAATTATATAGCCTTATGCGGTTTTTAAAAACCATTATCAATTGAGGTGTATGTATGAATTAATTAACCTTTTTTATCACTTGTAATTTTTTACGCAAAATTTTTTTATATCAGCAATCGAAAATATTTTATACTGTAATAAATAGATTTTGTATTAAAAAATATTATTTTTAGAAATGGTTTGTATTGTTTTAATTATTTATATGCTAGTTTATTTTGTATGCAAAATATTATAAATAACAAAATATGAAATTCAGAATAATTGTCTAGAATTAGCATATTTTAAAAATGTATAATATATTATTATAAAAATAGGCCAAAGGCCAGGCAAAAGCGGGCCAAAGGCCCACAAATTTGGGAGTATGGGAGGCTTGCCCCCCATAAAAATTTTTTAGCTGAGCCTCCTGAGATTGTAAAGGCTAGCGACGCCCCTGCTATTTTTATCATTAATAATAGAAAAAAAATTCCATTCAATTAAAATTTTATATAAAAAATTGTTTTTATGTATTATATATAAAAATTAAGGTCTGTTGTTTTTATCTATTGATATTTTTCTACTCAATCGTTTTTTCAACAAAGATCTAGAATATATAAAAATTAAGGTCCAATATTTAATATTTATTAGTGCTACAAAGTAACGTCGTTACCAATGGCATTACCTTTTTTAAAGAAATAGAAGGTCATTCGTTACTTTTTTGTAGTTTTTAAGTAACGATAACTTAAAACGTTAATTGTTACTTTAAATTATTTTATTTTTTTAAATATGAAAATAATATATTGATATTATAATATTTAAATTATTTTTTCTATTTTTATAATCAATCTATAATTTATATAAAACTATTTAAAGAGCTATAAAAATTAAAATACATTTAAAAGAAAATATATATTATAATATAAATAAATAAAAACTGATTGCATTCCCAAGGAGTAGTTATATCAGAATATTTTAAGCTGAATTTTTTGTTGGATAGCTTCTATACCTTCGCGACCACTAAATCTGTCTTCTGATTAAAGAAATTGAATACAGTTTAAAGGTAGAACGACTCATATGTTTGTTTGGAAGTTGAATATTAAGGTGAAAAGGTTTTTGTGGACGATGATTGATGAGAAAAAATATTTGGAGGTATCTTGGCCCCTCATCTCTCTCTTCAATCATTCAATAATGAGTCAGTGAGGGATATGAAGCTTGAGATCATAGAGTTGTTTATTAACCAAGATCATCAATAGGATGATAAATCTAGAAGGTTAAGTGGAACGGAGTCTAATTTGAACCTCTATTTGGCAAACTATAAATCGACTCAAATCGTGCCACTAGTCTATACCATCCGATTTACCAGATAGTTTGGATAATGCAGTTAAATGGTGACAATTCAATATCTAGAATATTTTAACATATATTTTGAATTTTTCCTGAATTTAAATCATGAAATTATTATTTGTGAATAAGGATGTAGAACGTAATATATATAAAAATTTTGAAAGGCAAATTAGATAATTAAGAAGAGGCACTAGTAAACAGGTAAAGGGGATAATATAGTTAAGATTTTAATTCATTTTATTCAAGGTATATAAATTTCTCTAATATTAATTTATTTTATGGATAATATATGTTAATACTATTTATTTCTTACATTTTATAACAAATAAAGAAAATTAAGGGCAGTATGGCTATATTTTATAAGTTTTGGATATGTCCTAATTTAAATATTTTAACTTCAATGTCTAGCAGCTAAAATCTAAAAACACAAATGTAGGTAAATATGAATTAGGATATAATTCTGTTCTGATAAAGATTTAAAAAATTTTTGAGGATCTGAATAAAGATTCTTTTAAAGATAATCTAATAATATTTTTTATAAATATAAATCAATATTTTTTATAAATCCCAATTAAATTTTTATTCATTAAATAAAATACAATCCTCTTTTCCTCTGCTCCAGTTGAATTTAATTTTAGCACAGCGAAAAAGCTGTGTTGAATATTGAGCACTCCTGTTTATATGATCAAAATTTTGAAAATCAATTGTTGCTAAAAGTAAATAAAAAATTATTACAAAATGTATCTATCTTATAATATATTATTTTTGTATAATATTATTATCAGTAACTATACAATCAAACATTATAAATAGCCTGCCACCAAAATTATTCTACAATTTAACTTTAATTAAAAATAAGAGATTTCAATTTGAAATTCTATTTGATCCCTTTTCAGTATCCTTCATTTTTACCCTTGGTGAAAAATAAATAAAAAGAGATTTGTAGCGAGTTACTTTTCACGTTTCTTTTTTGAAGTAATGTTTACAAAACTAGTATTTATTTGATTCAATTATTATATTTTTCTCTATATATAGCTTAAATTTATATATTATTAAGTAGATTTTATTCTTATTATAATGTTAAAATTTGGATTTACCTCAAAAAATTAGCACATCCTTTTATACCAAATTATGAATATATAAAATTCAAACAAAATAATACAATACACTAAAGATGCACCGAATATAATTCTTAAAATTGTAAATCATTTATAACTACCAAGGACATAGGCGTAGCCAAGGGAAGGGGGACAAGGGGAAATCCCCCCCTTTAGAAATTTATCACTTTTTGTGAATATCATTTTAAGCTAATAAAAAATATCCCCTTTATTCCTCCCCCACTCCCTGATCCTCAAAAATGTATGTATATATCTTAAACAATATTTTGAAAGAAAGAATGTAAAAGTTGATATTTTTTTTTTATAAAACTATTATCATAATTTATACATTTTTAGAAAAAAAGCATTTATATATGAAAAAAGCGAACCAAAATGTTTAAGAAATGGAATATAAGCCAAAGATAAGTCTTAAGACAAAAGTGAAATGTATTATAATGATTAATAAAAGATCCATAAAATTACTAAATAATATAATATATCAAATATAGTTTTTTATAAAGAGAGTAATTTTAATTTATTTATTTTAATAAAAGTAAAATATAATTATAAAACTATTGATAAAATTAAATCATAAATTAAATAAAAAATATTAAAGCACAATAACAGTGG